GAGCATAACTGCTCCGGCCCGGTTCGCAACCAGCTCGTAGGTTGCCTTTTTCGAGAAGCGTCACGTGACTTTACGAGTTGTTTTTGAGTCCGATTTTTCTATTTTTGGACCCCGACGGGCCGTGACAGGACCGGTTCACGAGCCCGACCAATAGTTTTTGACGGGACGGGTAAGGGTCACCCATGGGAGGCCCCCGAGCCGGGCCACATTGGCCATCTCTATTTATTTATTTTTTTTCAAATAATCACTGTTCTAATGTCAGCTGTCAAATCAAGGTAAATCAATATATAATGTCGTTACTGCTTAATTTATATATATATAAAAAAAAATATATTCAATACTATTAATGTTCCAAATGGTGCAAAAGCACATCACCCAATGCTTAAAGCTACAAAATCAATGCTTATACCAATTAAGTAATTTCTAATCCCAAATCTTTTTCCCAGTTGAAAACATCATTATATATATATATTATTATATAAATATAAAAAAAGCTGCATAAAAGATGAACAATAATTAATTCTGGCTGCTAAAAAAGCTATATATAGGGGAACAGAGCCGTACTTGAAAAAAAAAAATTATATTAAAATTATTAATTTTGTGTAAGTCATGTAGTAGTCCAATAAAATTTTGTATGCCTCGACTTAAAAAATCAAATGAAGATCTTTCGTACAATTTGTGTAATCTTGTGAATATATGTTTTTATTTTTCCCTTTTTTTTTATGTCTTTTTTTTTAGGCATGAAATTTAATTATCTATTTTAAGCATATATAATGAAAAATTAAAGCCTATTTGTTGAGCTTTCTAGAACTATTATATTATTTTCTATTAGATAAACTAATCAAATACTATCTCCTGTTCATTATAAATGTCGTTTTGACTTTTGTGATTCATCCATTTTGTTATGTATCTAGACATATTAATGTCTAGATACATAACAAAATGGATGAATCAAAAAAGTCAAAACGACATTTATAATGAATAGGAGGGAATAATTGTTATTACCTCCTTTTCAAAATGAGTGTCGTTCTGACTTTTTTTATTCATCCATGTCTAGATACATAGCAAAATGGATGAATCAAAAAAGTTAGAACGACACTTATTTTGAAAAGGAGAGAGTAATAGATTGTCAAATCTTTTCAATCTATTAATTTAATATTAATTTTAATTCACTAATTAACATGCAAAAAATACTATATAATTAATTATTGCATTTCGAATTTATTCATTTATCTGGAATATACTTATTAAGTGATATGATAGCAGTTTCTGAACAAGTCCCAACAAATGGCCATCAACTCGTATTAGTATTATTTTATAATCTCGAAAGTGACCAGCACTTTCTGAGGTGTAAGTTGTATTGATTGAAAGATAATACATTGTTTCAAGGATCTTGGATCTTTTAATTTTTTTGATATTGTTATTGGATATTTGTATACAATTATAATCAGGGGCGTACTCGAACTTGACTTGCTTGTATATTTAAGCGAGCCAAATTCGAACAACTAATCGAACATGTCTATAAAACAAGTTGAGCCAAACGTGATTTAGGATAATTTGGATTTTGGTCTAGGTTTTAAATTTTGTTAAATGACTTGAACTGAGCTAAAATTTTTATTTGTCTATGAACGAGCTGCTGAGCCACGACAGCTCGTTTATTAATTGAGCACGAGTTCGAACTTAAAATACTTGATTGAAAAATCGAGATAGACACGTGTAAAGAATTCGAAGTATGAAAAGTAATTTTTAAATTCAACATATGAATCACACAATAAATATATAAAAAAGTGAATGTTGCATATATACAAAAAAAAAAAATAAAAAAAAAAAATGTACTTTCTAACTAGTAACTAGTCGTGTTTTATATATATGGAGATGGATATCCTTTAAATAAACTCGAACTTTTTAAAAAAGTCCATGCTACATAATTAAGTTTGCGATAAGCTAACTTGTATATTTACCGAACACAACCTTAAATATCATCTCATATAAAAAAAAAATGACGTCAAAGTACATTTTCATAATTCATTAAGCATGTTGTAGTACCTCAAATTATGCATACTAATAACATAAGTATACATTTTTGTTATTAAAAAAAAAAAAAAAAAAAAAATAACGGATCAACTTGGCTAATGCTAATTATGTCGCTCTTTACCAAAGTTCTTTTTATTTTAATTTTTCTTTTCGTACCCTAACAATTAGATAATTATAATGTTTCAATATATGGATATGGATATTTTTTAAATTGAACCGTGATAACTGAAAAAGTAATATAAACTAAAATATAACATATTATAGCATAAACACGCATTGAATTATAAATATACGACAAATCGACTTGCCTAACTGCTTTGTCGTCTCACATGTACGTAAAAGCGTTTTTCTTCAACTCTCTAATTACACTTTTTTTTTATTATTATTATTATAACTAATATACATGGGTTGAATATGACTTGCTCGGTTTTATTCAACACAAAAAATATAAAATTTTCTGCAGTTATTGATACTTGACACTGATATATATTCTTCAACTTCTTGAGAAAAAAATAATTAAATATATGATCTTCATAGCAATATATGATGATATAATCTGATGGTACATATATATAACATATCAATAATTGTAGAGCAAAGTCCATTATTATTATTATTATGGATGTAAATAGCCTTGGGTTCGAGCACATCATATTCAGTCACAAGTCAATTAAGGCTTGATCATAAGGAACAAATTGATTTAAAAATTTTGATCTAAATCAAATATTTAAATAGTTTATTATCAGGACAAGGCCTAACTTCAATAAAAGTACAGTAATATATGTTATAAAATAGCTTATTATTTACAGTTCATTTTTATTATTTAAATGACACAGACTGGGATGTGTAGCTTATCTGAAACAATAATATTATTTCAGTCTAAGTATTATTAATTTATGAGATCTTTTAGACTTTTACGCAGATCTCATTGACGTGTACCGTGTTATTTTAATTTTATTTCATATGTATTACACCTAAGTTTTTGCGGCCGTCTTTATCTTTTATGCGATTTTATATTCCAATCAATTTGGCTCAAAATTAAATGAAATGTATTTACTACACGGTCACCATATATATAATAACGGTAGATGCTACGACCCGTTACAGAATTATTCTGTCGAAATTTGTAACAATTAGAACAATTATTCCCGACGATTACATAATGATCTGACGACATCGTAGCATTTCCCTATAATAACTAACTAGCTTGTCGAATCATGTTCTAATAAGAACATAATAGTTGAATTTCAATATTTATTATTTTACTAGAAGTATGTATATATCATGTGTATTTTCAAAATTCCAATATATAAATAATTACGTTAATGTCGCGCGACTCTACATGATTTGTGAAAGACACAAAAGAGTTGATTATTCAATAGAAAAAAATAAATATAATAATAAAATAATTGCATTAATTTCGTCTCTTTCTAGATAGATCAAGAAAAAACTTATAAATAATAATAATAATAATAATAATAATAATAATAATAATAATAATAATAATAATAATAAACTTAACAGCCAGTAGACAAAGGACTCGTGTTTAAGAATCTGACGAGAAAATCCCATAAAAACAGAACCCAACGTCAAAAAAAGAGGGGACACAGTGTGCATGCAGATGCAGGTGGGCCCCACTTACCTTCTAAAATCTTGCTAGTACTATTTATTTATTTATTTATCTTTATAAATAATAAATAAATTACCCTTTTTCTTATTAATTTATTACCAGTACAAAATTTAAAATTCCCAGCCGCTCGCGAGCTGCTCGACAACGTAAACTATGGGCGCGAACTTGACTCGAAGTCGTGTTCGAGCTCGACTCGAGTTTGGTCAAACTCGAGCTCAGCTCAAGCCGCTCGAGCTCGACTCTTGTGCAGCTCATTGTACTAACAAAAAAAAAAAAAAGTCACCCTAAGGAATATCACAAGCAAAATCAAGCTCGACACGTGGCAAATGGCCGCTCCTTTGATTCCTGAGGGGGACCAGGATTTTTATTTCCAGGTCAACGGTCCATCATTTGCCTCATTTGCTTTAGCATACATTCTTTAAGGACCTGAACACAAATATTTTTCTTTTTTATATTATATTTGTCCCCTTCAAAAAGAGGATTATATTATTTTGTCCCTTCAAAAGGAGGAAGGTAAAAACTAAAGATAGCAGTTTTTATAGATTTTTTTTTTTTTACTAATTACAGTGAGGAGAAAAGGAGAAGGACCCCAGTAAAAAAGCAATCTCATAATTCTCAATAAATTGTCTGTTTTTTTTTGTTTAACTTTCACTACTTTTGATGTGTTTCAAAACCAACTGCATCTCTTTCACTGAATTCAAAAGAAAAGCAACTCTCTCTGGGCCATGAATATATGAGAAGGTAGATGATCTCAACAGTCGAGTTATCGAGTTTTTTTCTTTTTAGTCGAGACGACGAACAAATCCATATCAAACGTGTGTTGATCCAACAATAAAAAAACTCGATAATCATCAATATTATCAAATCTTCCAATGAGAGTGCCTCAACAAAATATACTACAAATTAAAAAAAAAAACAAAAAAAAACAAAAAACTAAAAAATTTCATAACTAATCCAGCTCTTTTTCCTTCCTTTTTTACCCCTGTAAAACTGTACAATTCATTGTTCAAAAAACAGTGGAGCTCTATTCTTCCCAATGCTCTTTTTACACCAATGATTTATCATTCTCCTCACATATAAAAGAAAATACCAAAACCAATCTCTTTTCCCCATATACAAAAAAGAAAGAAAAAAAATCACTAGGTACTTAGACCCATTAATGACTGATAAAACAAAAACTCAGCCTTAATCCTTGCATATAAACACCACCCTCAGCATTTTTTCCATCCACCGGCCGGTCGATCAGCCCTCTCGTCCGACAATTCCTTCCCAAGATTCAGTCGAATCCAATCTTCTTGGATTTTCTTTCATATATTTTGTTTTTTCCGAATTTGGATCAGCGATCCTCGACAAACACTCTCCCGACAAACTCGCGAAACCTTCTCGAGTAGAGTTTCGGGTCTACGGCCGAGATTGAGGTGGGGTCCACCTGCAGGGACTTGTACGCATGCTCGATTTTCTTGGTGATGTCATAGTCTTGCAAAATGTCGATGATGCCAAAGTAGAGAACTACTTCGTAAGTTTCGCCATTGTTCGAAGGAGTCGAGTGGCTAAAACTGGAATGATTGTATTGGTCGAAATCGCTCTTTCGAGACACACGTTGGGCTCGGGCGGGCATGTTTGCACCTAATCTTATCAACGGTTTTCTGATAAAGAATAAAAAACGGATATCAATTTAGAATCGAAGCAAAAAATTCATGAAAAATAGTAAATGAACCGTATTGAAAAATAATTTCAATTTATATTTGGGAAAATCCAAAACCACAACTATTCCTTCTGCAAGTGATTTAAAAATATTGAAAGAGAAGAAGACTAGAGAACTTTTTTTTTCTTCTTATCCACAAACATAAGCCCATGCTATAAACAAACCCCACAAACTGTGTATAATAATTTGTAACAAACGGCAACTACAATATATTCACCCATCATTAGTCCCTCTCATGTGTTATTCAACTATCATTTCCAAATCACTGGAAAAATTCAAATATATACAATAAAATACAATTATACATACCTTCCGGATAAAACCCGATCCATGTCTTGTAACTCGGCCTCGAGAAAACGACAGCCGCGCATGAATTTTTCGCTTTGGTAAGAATCACCTTTCTCTGAGAGAAGCAAAAATTACACAACATAATCAAAACCCTCGAATCCCAAAGAAAAAATTAAATATAAAACCAATCATGTGTCGTGAACAATGAATTAAAGAAGTACCTGCACGAGGCATAAAAGGCGATAAACCAATCTTATCTCCCGTACTATCATCACGAAAATGAAGGCCAACCAAGAGACTGTAATCCATGATCCGTTCTTTCTCGAGAAATTCACAGTCACGATGAATTTGCCTGCAAAAACACAATTATAAGAATCACTAAAAGAAAGGCTCACACAAAAAATCGAGTAAAAATAATAAAAGGGCAGAGGCAAAATACTAACTTGATGAGTTCTTGATACCAATTGGTCTGCAAACGGAACATATAGTTTAGGTCGAGGTCCTTCAGAGTAGTGGTCTCATCAATCTCCCCTTTGGTTTTATCGGTCATTCGGCCGTGTGATGATCCTTTCAGATCAAATCTTCTATGAATTTGATACTCGGAGCAGAACAAATTTCCCATCACAATGAATCGTGTCTAAATTTTCGAAAATGAAGACATTAATTAGACAAACAGAAGACATTAATGTATACTCTATAATTTTATAACATAACCGTGGTTTGATTCAAATTTTGGAAATCATTATATATTATATGTATACCTTAACGCCACCGACTGGCTTCACACAATGGACCCCATAAAATTTCGTGACGAGCGAATTTTCATAACGTGAGACATGCTGATAGTAACTAGGAAGCATCTTGATAAGCACCTGAAGGAAACAAATAGCCATATGCCCATTTTTCAGTAACAGAACTAAAATTCGTATAAGACCTATCTATTTTTCCAAACAAGTTAAAAGAATTAGGCAGCTAAATCTAACCTTCACTTCTGATTTCTTGACAGTCTTTATCATGAATCTATCGTCTTGTGTCAAGTAAAAGAAACTTCCGCTCTTTCCGGGAGAAGAAAATTCTCTCAAGGAATCATTTCCACAAATGGCTAACATGTAATCCGCAGGATCCACTTGAAAAAGCTCCCGTAATTTCCTGATAAACCCAATTAAATAAATTTCAATTTTAAGTTTGGCCCATCCACAAGGCATACAAAATTTAGAGGACACACAAAATAAACAATGCATCCAAATAAAGCTAGCAACTTTAAGACCAAATCTCACACCATAATAGCAAGAATAGCAAATTTTTCACCACATATGTTATAAACTATTTAAGAATAATTACCTAAAGACAACCGGACAATAATCCTTCCACCGAAACTCGGGGGACTGATGCATAGGCGTGATTTCCGACCCTTCGGCAGGAAACCTCGTCCAAAACTTCTCCTTAGGATCAAAATCAGTCACTTTAAGATCACGCAATATCGAAGCATGCTTTCCCACAGTGTACCTAAAACAAGTTACATTAAAAATCACTACAGAAAAAAGCTCCCTGAACTCGAATATACGTAATGGATTTCAACCGTACCTAATGCCCAGTTGAAAATTGATCATCAAATCATAATTTTTATGCCCTTTTGAAATCATTTGGCCCGGCCTCTTCACCTCACCACCATTGAAACAACCGGGATTCCTTCTAAACTGCTTAATCCCATCACGATTCAAAACAAACCCATCTCTATACAACATTGAGGCCTCCAAATTATCGAGTATGTCACACGTTATATCCCCAGCTTCCCCATCTGAATCCCAAATGCAAATCCTCGGAAAAGCCCTCTCTGTAACACCGCCATCAACAGCAAGAGGCCACTTCTTATTACTGTCATTATCAGTCATCACATTCACCTTCTCCTCCTCCGACACCACCAGTGTGGTCGACATTTTATGACCGAAATACCCCTGCAGGCTCTCCTTCTCGTTCCCATTCTCATTCTTGGAACTGTGTGCAGGGTAAAAAGTCCCATTCAGGATTTGCTGTCCCTTTCCTCCGTTCTTACATGTCTCGTTTGACCAGCAACCGATGTAGCAGCTGCCGTCCGGCCAGGTGAAGACTCCATGGCCCTTGGGGGCCCCACAGTCCCAGTCGCCGTCATACCTGTTCCCGTTGTTCCAGACAAGAATACCTCTACCGTGAATCATCCCGTTCTTCCACTCGCCGATGTACTCGTTTCCATTGCTCCATACGTATCTGCCCTGGCCGTCCTGGAGATTTCTCTTCCAGTGCCCTTCGAAATAATCCCCATTGCTGTAGTGCTTGACGCCGTACCCGTGCTTGCGGTCGCCGGACCACGAGCCCCTATACGTGTCGCCGTCCGGTCCGATAAACGTCCCGGAACCCTCCATCCGGCCCGACCGAAATTCGCCCTCGAAAGTGGCACCCGACGGCCAGGAGAACCTCCCGCGGCCGCTGGCCTTCCCCTTCTTCCACTCGCCCTCGTACATGCACCCGTCGCTCCACAGGTACTTGCCGGATCCGTGTGGGGTGTTGCCGGAGAATGTCCCGATGTACAGATCGCCGTTGGGGAGGCGCTTCTCGAGGATGCTTCCGGCCGAGCCGGCGTCCGAGACTGAGGCCGGGGTTACTCTTCGGCTCGTCGCCTGGGATTTGCTCCGGGAAACGATGACTACCGATCTCGGAGTGGTGGTGGTGAAGGCCGCGCAGTCAGAGACCTTCATTCTCTCTCTCCCTAGACTCTCTTGGCCGAATTTTATCTGCTCATTTTCAGCTGGCGCGGTGAGAGACTGTGGTTCAGGCATTTTTCTTTCAAGAAAAAAATAAAGCTTTTTCAAAAACTGGGCAAGCAAAATTAACGATTCACGTTCGCTTCGTTTTTTTTCTTTTTCTGTATCAGCTTATGGCAGGCAAATCGAGTCACCGACTGGGAAATCCAGCTCCGGGGCCGGCGGCATTTTTCCGACCACCCCTTTTTCCTCTGAGTATCCCTTTCCCTCTGAGAGAAGAGGAGGAAGCTTTCTTTAAGAAGAGTTATAGGAATCCTAACAGTAACCCAAAAAGGAAGACGAGCTGAAGAGGAAAGGTTTGTAGAGAGAGAGAGAGAGAGAGGGAAACGAGCAAAATGAACAACAATAAACAAAGAAAACTGAAAAGACAAAAAATTGAAGTATAATAAAGAGAGCCCAAATTGAAAACCAGCGCGAGGAGAGAGAAAAAAAAAGGTAAAGCTAGCGAGTGCGTGTAGTGTGTGAGAGAGAAAGGAAAGCGTAGGTTTTTTTAGCCGGCGTCGCCGTTTTGTACTGTTACAGCTCGGCCTAGGGAAAAACGTATCGTCTCTACGAAGGCTATACATACAGAGAAATGCAGCGCGATGAAATGACGGATATGCCCTTTTCCGGTGAGCCTGCAAACAGGGGAATATTATCTCCTGATTTGCCCTATTCGTGACGTGACCGCATTTTTGCAATGGGTGGTAAAGAGAGGGCACGACAGGTGGAGTGTAATTACTCAAATGACCCTTGATTTGAGTTGTATTACGAAAATACCGTCAAGGGTTTGTGGATATAATCGCGGCAGATTATGTGACCCCTAAAAAAAAATTAATTGTAATTTGGTAACCATTTTCAATTGTAATTAGGATATAATTAAATTTTAGTGTTAAAAAAAATAAAAATTCAACTGTATTTCTTTTAATTTTTTTTACGATTGGTTCAGTTTGCACGGATTTGCTCCTTAATTTTATGAGTCATTATCAATTGTGAGTATTAATCAGGCGTAATTACCTCATAATACCTAATTAATTTGGTCGAGAAACATGGTAATTAGGCAACAATTTTCAATTTAATTTTCTTTTTATTTTATGCTATTTATTTTCCCAGTGATTTATTATTATAGAATTTGGCTGAGCTGTGAGGTGGCCATGGAAGTGGAATCCCAATAGATAGAAATATCTGCAGCTAATGATATAAACTTTGTCAACATTTGATAATATAATAATAATAAGGCAAAATGGTGTTGATTTGAATATAAATAAATAAATAAATTGCTGAAATTATTGCAAATGGACTTGCTATGTAATGTGCATCACTTTTTGCAAATATAGCTCTTTGGATTGCTCAATTTTTTATTTTTTTTTTTCCTGATATAAAAATAAAATGAATAGATGGTATCTTTATGGAAATTAAAATTAAATGGTGTGTATGTCTCCTATTTATAAAGATGGCCAGTCAACAGACCAGGCTGGGCCGATAAGCTCCCATGGGTGACCCTTAATCGGCTTGCAACAAACCAAGGTCGGCCCGTGAACCGACCTGGTCCCGGCCCGCCGGGACCACAAATAGAAAAATCGGACCCAGAAACAACCTGTAAAGCTACGGTGACGGTTCTTGAAACCGGCAACCTACGGGCCAGTTGTGGGTCGTAGCCATGTCTACCTATTTATTTTTATCAAAAGGGGACTTTTCTCAATGAAAAGATTGAAAAAAAGGCAATCTATATTGAAATTTCTTTATGAATTAAGACTCAAAAGCGCCTAATAATCAAAATATGTGTGTTTGATAGCACGGGGCAGCTACATTTTTCGTTAATTTATTACTTGCTTTGACAATATGAATGTATGTGCATTCATTTAAATTTTTTGACCTTCATATGTTCATGATTTTACGTGTTTTTCTTTTTTTTTCCATACAATTATTTTTTGTTTTTTAAACATTGGGATATCAAAATTCAAAATTTTGAAACATTTCATGCACTATTGCAAAACAGCAAAATGTAGGGGGCAATTAGTAAATTTCAGAACTTCTTTCTATAGAGAGCATACTATACAATATGTTTGTAATATTAGAGTTTATTGCAATTCATATATTTACTTAATTTAGTGAAATAAATAATTATAATTATATTATACTCCCTCCGTTTCAAATTATAAGTCGTTTTGACTTTTTTGATTCATTCATTTTGCTATGCATCTAGACATATTATTATCTAGATACATAACAAAGTGAATATACCGAAAAAGTCAAAGCGACTTATAATTTGAAACGGAGAGAGTATTAAAACACTCATGTAGGTGAAGTATAATATTGTGTGATTGAATTCTCTAGTAAGTTTTTTCACCATATTTATACAAAAGCATTGGAAATGGTGGTACATCATGAGTTGATGTAAAGTAGGCTTACAAACATAGATTGGGCGCAAGCTTTGGGCCCACTTAGTGGCCCATTTACTCCTTAGCAGTGGTTTTCACTATTCAAGCCCCATAGATCCAAAACATCCCATAGTTGGGATTTTTGAAAAGTAGGCCATTATAATGCAAGTATTAGTCATTTTTATTTATTTATTTATTTATTTATTTCTTAATGGTTATGTTTAACTTCTAATTACACCACTTAGTATAATTGTCTTTTTACCCCCAAAAGGGCTCTCAACATGAAGCATGTAACAACCTATGATTTTGTACTTATGGACCTAATAAATTGGCAATTAAACCCCTAATTAAATGCACTTAATTGATTAAGTTCTTCTATAATTTTCAATTTTTATTTTTATTTTAAAAAAAAATATTGTATTTTCTTTTACCTTATTTGGATAAGAAATCCACACCATTTGTTGCCACATCTATTAACCATTTGTGTGCATGACACTAAATGGTCTTGCAGGTACCAAACTATTAATTGCACTATTGAGTTCTTACCTAATAATATTTGAATTGGTTGTAACAGTTTTGCTATGAAGTCAACCGTTAATTCCATAATATGATATGATTTACTTGTTGCATATAGAAGATTGACTTCAATATAGAGCCAACGATTGACTTCATAACAAAACCGTTGGTTCGAAATAAAATATGTGTAATTGAAACATTTATGTAGGACAAAATTGGAGTTATTCTAATTTTACTCTACATATTTCTTCGTGCCCTAATTTCATTCCATGTTCTAACTTACTTATTTCTTCGTGTGCAGTTAAAAAAAAAATAATGTTCAAAGATAAAATTGTGATCGAAGTTCATGTTTGTTTGACCAAACCAGTGACTCGGTCAACCCCGACATAAAATTTTGATAACCCATTAATTAGTTGAAAGCTTATTAGAACTTCTAAATTAGAAGATGAAGATTTGATCAAGACTAATTAATTAAAGTATTAAACCCTAATCCTTGCCTCTATTAACCATATATATGTATATATAATATCCGATAATGCTTCCCTACCCACGGTGGGCACATATGTTAATATGTCCACCGTTTACGTGGCATGAACTTATTGGCGATGTTAATATGTTCAGAAAAATACATGACTAATGTGTGCATGTCACATAAACGGTGGACATATTAACATGTGTCCACCGTGAAAAGGGGAGCATTATCGTGTATATATGTCACCTAACACCCGGACATATACAGTAAAATGTTGGTTAAAAGCAAGTCGTTTTTACTATTTGCTTTGCATGTCCCCATACTTCAACTAATTTGCTTATCCTACTATTTTTTCCATTTTAATTTTATTTCATGAAAGTCTATCTTAATCTCCTTGAAATTCAAACTTAAAATACATGATGATGCTCTAGTTAATTACTAGCCTACAAGTATAAAATCTTTCGGTGGAGCGTGATTAAATTTCCTTAATTTGTTTATTAACTTCACTAATTACTGTCTCGTTAACTGCCTAAGACAAAAAAAAAAATAAAAAAAAAATAAAAAAAAAAAAACATAGATATGAAATCCCACGATTAGTGACGAATCTTAAAAGTTGCATCTATGTGGCCATTTTTAGATTATCTAATTTATAATCCAATATTTATTCAAGATTATGAAATATCAAGAATTAGTTGAATTAATGATTAAATAATGATGGATTATGCCATGTAAACGCTTCATAACAATCTATAATCGTACCACACAACTGTTATTGTGTATATTTATGTATTTACTATATTAGTATTTGGTTCTGTTTAGATAACTGTATCCCTAATTTTGTGTATATATTTCTAGTTAATAGAGAGTTATATCATCCAATTGAGATGATTTTCTCCATAAATTACATCTTCTCTCTCGTATCACAACCAAGTTATAGTTTTTCTTCAATCGACTAGCAAATTAAATTAAATACATGAAGTACCAACAAAATCAACAAAGAATTGGTGGAAGAAAACAAAGCCAACCTTTCTAAGTAGCCAAGAACCATTAGTCTGCTATAGTGTTGTCCATTTCGCAATTAGATGCAATGGTGGTGGATAATAAATTTCTTGCTCAGCCGCCCACTCACTCTTCATAAATTCGAATTGACACGGCCCATTTTCAATTTTATCGGGCTCAAAAGTTACTTTTACTAAGTTAAAATGAGCGTAGCCTAAATATTGGGCCCGCGAGTTACGTGATTCATTAGCCCGACTATTTTGAGACATATATAGTCCTTATTGTTTGGGACAAGGCTTATTAATCTGATATAGCACTCATGATGGCTCGATGAATCGTCCTGAGTGGCTAGCTCGAGTGTGACCGGTTCAAGAAAGTTTAAGCTCAGTATCGGGTTCGACCTGATTATTAGAGAATTCGGTAGAGTTGTTCAAGATACAAGTCAATATGGATGGAGAATAATGGGTCGAACCCTAGCTCCTCGGGGAGCTCGAACAAAGGAGAAGTCGGTACGTCCCTGAGGTCGTATATGTGAGTAGTTCGACTTGGAAAGCACCCATGGCATAGAGGTCAGACATAAAGACCCAGGAGTAGGGGTGTAAATTGCGAACCGAGTCGAGCTCAGCTCGTTAGCTGATCGAGCTTTAAATGAGTTCGAGCTCACAAGC